CTCGCTGCTCTCTCTTGCTGATGATTTTTTTCTCCTGAAGTTCACTTCCAGTGAAGATTTTGATATGATCTGGTCGGGAGGACCTTGGTTTCTCCTTGGCAAACCTTTCTTCCTTCAGAAGTGGAATCCGAAGTTCCAACCAAAGCGAGACGAAGCTGCCTCTATCCCTCTGTGGATTAAGATTCTCAACCTCCCCCTTGCTCTCTGGACACCTTCAGGTATCTCAAAAATTGCCAGTTACATTGGCATTCCTCTCTATGTGGATTCTCTTACCGCCAAAAGAACACAACTTACTTTTGCGCGAGTTTGTGTTCAAGTTGACAAAAACTCGGTTTTGCCAGACGATATTCCTTTGGAAATTGATGGTGATGATTTGGTTCTCAAAGTTGTCTATGATTGGAAACCGTCGAAATGTGATGGCTGCGGTTCTATAATCCATCCTTATGCTCTGTGTCCATCTAACCCTTCACCCAAGCCTTCTCTTCCTCCAAAACCTACTTTTAGGGGCAGGAGCACGAGTCGGGCTCCTACTGCTAGAGGTAAAAGATCCACTTCTCGGCCCAAGGTTAATTTTCCGGTTAACCCTCCTCTAAACATTAATTCTGCTTCTACATCCCAAACCCTGCCCACGACACTTCCTCCTTCTCAACCAGCCACAGATCAGCCACCTACCTCTACTGGAATTGCCAATGAACCTCTTATTACTCCTCCTGACAATACCACATCTCTCCCTAATCTGAATTTACCGCATGAAGAATCTTCCTCTTCAGGTCAATCCCTTCCACTTCTTCTTCTTCGTCCCTCGCAAGTGGTTTTAGCTAATAGCTTTGCCTCTCTCCCTGTTGAAAATTTGGACAATTCGGATGAGGCAAAAGAAGATGAAGTTCATTCTTCTTCTGTTTTTTCCGAGGAAGTTCCTCCTCCCTCCTCTCCCCCCAAAGCTTCTCAGCCTAACTCCAAAACCCCTTCCCACTCTGTCTCTTCCCCTGACAAAAAAGCCAAGCCAAAAACGGCCAAAAAGGCCAAAAAACCCAAATAAGAAATTGATTTCTAAACTTTGTTCCAAATTCTTATTTTTTGGAAACATTTCAGATAAAAAGCTCCACTTAATTTCTTGGAAGTCTGTTATTCTTCCCAAATACAAAGGGGGATTAGGTCTGCCTTCTTTTGACTTCCTCTACCATAAAATGGCTACCTCCTTTATCTTCAGGATGCTCAACAACAACACTTTAATTGGCAATTGGTACATGAAGAAATTTGAATCACCGTGGAAAATTCCACCTCACCATGCCTCTAAGTTCTGGAAGTTGATCTGCACGGTGGCTGCCTCTATTCTCCCTTCTATTTCTCTCTGGGTTCACAAAAACTGCAACTTATCATTCCTTTGGGACCTTGGTGTAAGAAGAAAGCTTTAGTTGACCTCTACTATTTTACCAGATTCTCTCATTTGCCGGTTAATAGGTTTATTCAGGATGGGGTGTGGATGTTACCTGATGAGCTCCCTCCGGGTATCATTTCTGATATTAATAGCATTGATATTTTTGAAGATCATCCCGTGATTACTTGGGAGGGCTCTCTCTCTCCTTTTCCCCCCTCTAAGAATGTTTTGGCTGCTTTTCATGAGGCTACTAAGAATGTGTCTTGGTTTAATTTCATCTGGCATAAAGGTCACGCTTTGAGATACGCATCCTATGCTTGGATGGCTATAAGGAGAAAGTTGAAAACTGCTGATAATTTGCTTTCCCGTGGCATACAGGTGCCGGGGCACTGCTCGTTTTGCATGAATTTTTTGGAAAATCATCATCACATTTTCTTTGAATGTGACTTCTCCTTCTCCATTCTTAATGCTTTGCTCCCTGATACCAAAAGGTTCTATCTTAGGCCTTATCTATTGCAGGTCTACAATTTATTTGATAATATGCAAGAATATAGTAGGAGGGATAAGTTTTTCTGTTATTTTACGGTTGCCACTTTGATTTATTATACCTGGAGGGAAAGGAACAACCGCAGATTTGCAAATGTTTGGAGATCACCTTCTGAGGTGAGTCTAGATGTTACCTACGTTGTACGTGCTAAAGTTACTAATTGGAATGGGTTTGATGCCCTCAAAGAGAAGTTTCCTCACATTCTGGGTTGAGTCTTGGAGGAATTTTTTCAAACTTTTACTTTTGTGATGGATGGGGGATGTTTTATTACTGCTTTTGGTTTCTAATACTGTTATGGCTCGCTTTAGATCATGGATTCATTTGGTATCATCATGGGCTATTTTTGGGACCTTTGGCTTTTTGAGCTGGTTTCTTTTGCTGGAGGTGCTGGATGGTTGTTATTGCTGGATTGACTTCGGGGCATTTAGTTGCGGGAATTTTGAACAATTCCTCTACTTTTTCGATCTGCTGCCTTTTGGTCGTGATTGGTTTTAATCAGGACGATGATGAAGCTCCATTCGCTGTATGCTGCTTGCCTCCCCTTGGATGGTCTTCGGGCAACCAGGGGTCAATTTTATTATGAGTCATGGTTAATCTTGTTGGAGCCCTTTTGAGATCTTGGATTCCTTTATTATCTACCTGTTCTGCCATGTTTTGCTCCTTATGCTTTAGCAGGTCATTTTATTTGCTCCTCTTCTTGGACTTTTGGGACTAGATTACCTCCTTCCTACTTGGGGACGTTTGCTCCAGAATCTGCCTGCTCGTCTTCTGCTGAGGTCCTCCTGCTGCTTCCTGCTATCAAACGGTTTCCCTCAGCTCTTTTGGTGCATCAGATTGTTACTGGTTTTTGTTTTTATCATTGGGGTGGTATAGTTGAGGTTTTTGGGTCCTTCATAAGTTTTTGTTTTTGCTTATGAAGGGTGTTTTTTGTTCTTTTCTTGTAATCTTTTTTACCTGTAACTTTTTTCTTAATATATGGGCTTTGGCCCCAATTTCTCCCAAAAAAAAAAAAGATAAGCTCGTGTATATAAATAAGACGCGGACAAGGATAAGCTCTCAAAGAAATACAATTTTTACTTCTACTTGTGCTAACTCAAGATCAAATAATATAACCAAAGCTAGTAATATTTGAATAGATGAAAGCTTAATAATCAATAAAAAAAAAATTCTGCCATAGTCTATTCCTTTCTTAAGTAAAACCTTTTGCTATTAATATAGCTTTATACCTGATATTATCTTTACTAGAGCATCTTCCTTCTTGGAAAAGATTAATTTATAACCAAGAAATTTTCTTGTCCTTTGTAATCAAATTGGATTTTCTCTTATTTTTATGGAGCTATTGCATCTCCACATTCATTGTCAGTTCCCAATTATACTTTTATACTATGTACAATTTTTTTGTAATTATATGAAATATCATCTCCAATGATAAGAAAAAAACAAGTATTATTATGTCAATGTTTGAAAATATTCAATTATTTTTCTTTGGTCTACTAATGGAAATCAATTTTAGATTTTTTTATGGACTCCATTATTGGTGAAAGTTATGTTTCCTCCACCATAACCAAGACTTTATTTTTACTATCAAATTCATCTTTTATATGATCAATAGTTTTTCTAGATTTATAGGAATCATAAACTCCATTTGTTGAATGGAGTTTGAGTTTTAGTTCCTTTTCTACAATATTATTTCTTTCAAAATTTTGCACTAGTCAAAGATAACATAATGATATAGTACAATCTTCGTTGATTCCATATTCCAAAAATGATGCCTAAACCTGTTCATTAAAAGCCTTGAAAATATTTTTTTTTTTTTGCATATTGTCAAATTTTATTCTGTCATATGAAAATACGCATGACATAGAAATATATACATGCAATCATTATCATAAATAGGTTTCTAAACCACACCTCCTTTTGATTTTTTTTTCTTCTAAAATTAATATGGGGAAATTGTTAATAATATATGATGCATATTATAAAGCTTCTATGTAAATGTTTAAGAAAAAGGAAAAAAAAAACTTAGGGCTTAGCTAATTCAACATGAGAGTGGTAAGGAGATGGAAGGAGAGGAGATCACCTTTGGCTAAGGAGTTGGAGATGAAAGCCAGCGTCGGCTAGGCTAGGGCAAAATTTTGGCTAGAGTTGCAGTGGGTGCTCTCTGGATGGAACGAAACGAGACAGGCGTTGAAATGAGGAAGAAGGAGAGGGTGGGTTGGGTATTACGACAAATATTGGCAGAATTTCTTGTGGCATAAGCCACTGGAAATAATTCAATTAAAGGCGGCATTAATGACACCAACAAATGCCTTCTAGATAGAACATTCATGTGATTTTTTTTTTGCGGTTAACTTGATTTTTACTGACAGTTAAAAAGTCGCTCTTTACAGGCCGTTGGACTGCCAATAATTTCAGCAGTCAAATGACCACTGAAAAAATTGCAAGTATTCAATGAATTTTTTGTAGTGTGACTTTGCTGTCCAACTTCCTCACACATAGAACTCATCAAATGAGTAGCCCGTTAACTCACCTCATTGGAAGTTACACAATAACGGCTGTCAATTATGTTGTTGTGCACTCATTACCTTGAAAGTCAAATAAAAAAATTAGACATCTCAAAATTTTATTAATTCTCTTATACTTTTTCCTTTTTCTAAATCATTTCTTTTAAAATGCTTGTCAAGAAAAAGAGTTGATCCTTCCTTAAAAAGATTAAATATTATTTCTGATTTTCAAAGTTATATTCAAGTTGTTGAACTTTTTTTTTTTAAATACTAATGCAAAACCAGGAATCATATATTTTCATCAAACTTGATCCATTTGTGAGATGGCTGATAATGATGTGTTATATTAAGATCAATGATATGAGACAAGGCCCATAGAGGCTACTGCAGGTTATCATTGTTAAGCCATCACCTGGTTGTCCAAGCTGTTTTATTTTAAGTGAGTTGTGGCTATTCAAGGTCAGGAGAAACAAAATTGTTTTAAAATGTAATTATCAAAAGATAAGATATGTGCCATATTTTGATAATTACAAAGCATATTCATTTCATAGGTAGAATTGCACATCATTTATTATCACAGAAAATTGCATACAATGCTAGAGATCACACTACTTGTTGCCATTAAATAGCAGAAGTTACAAAATACAACAAGAAATACATTTTGTTCTTTGTTTGTCGACGGTGCTTGAATTATATGCTAGCCTTCCCATAAATCATATTTAGGCCAACCTTCCCATAAAGTGAATACCGCTTATATTAGATGTTTAAGCTGTGGTGCTTAAATATGGAAAATTTTACAAATAACAAGTAGTAAAGTATATAAGTAATTTATATAGCTAGCGGAACCAAATAAAGCTTTTCTTTTCTTGGAGTAGTTATTCCGGCACTATCTTCCATGTCCATACCATCACAGGAAATGCCACTCGGTAGTTTCCAATTGAAGCGATAAACAAGATTTGCTAAAGCAAGCTCAACAATGGCAATTGCAAACTGTATTCCAGGACAAATTCTACGACCAGCACCAAATGGAATGTAATGAAAATCATGACCTTTGTAGTCCACATCGTCACCTAAGAATCTCTCTGGCTTAAATTCTTTTGGTTCATTCCAATAAACTTCATCTCTTCCAATGGCCCATGCATTGATGAGGACCCTAGTTTTCTTAGGAATGTTATATTCTTGTATTTGACAATCTTGCAATGACTCTCGAGGGAGAAGTAATGGAACTGGTGGATGCAACCGAAGAACTTCCTTTATAACAGCCTTCATGTAGCTCAATTTGCCCAAGTACTCCTCCCTTACTTTTTCCTCTCCATAAGCTATTCCCCTCACTTCACTCTGCACCTTTTCCATTACTATTGGATTTCGAATGAGCTCAACCATGCACCAATCGAGAAGAGCAAGGGATGTGTCGGTTCCGGCAACAATCATATCCTTTTATAGTACAAAGGGATGTCACTACGTTAGTTAGCCATAAGATGCAAGCCAAAAAAAAAATAAGAATAACAAAAGATAATTGTATTATTTGTAAATCTTGAATTAATATAAGTGGAATTCACTTCTCTCAGTTTAACAAAACCGGCATGAAGGAATTGTATTAATTTGCTAAATTTCCTCGAACTAAAAGTCGATAAAAAGGGTCGGATGAAAAATGTCCAATGACCAATTGTTATGCAGAAAAAATGTTTTGGATTTTTGGAAAGCTGAAAAAAGCTGCGATCTTTGTTTGATAACCAGTTGTTATGCAGAAAATGTCCTGAAACTTTTAACAGCAGAAGTTGTTGTATTAAAAAAAGAGATTGTTTAAAATAAATACCAATAAAAGTGCCTTAATCTGCTCATTTGTGAGAACGAATGGCATGCTTGAATCTTTCTGCAACTGAAGCAACACATCAATGAAATCAGTACTACTCGCGGTCTCTCCTTCCGCCAATTGGGAAACATGGTCCTCAATAAACTCCCCAAGAAGAGCATCCCATTTCTCAGAATGCCTTGTAAGTTCCCCTTCCAATCCAAAGAGCACATCTAACCACCTTAACCAGGGGAAGTAATCCTCTACGAACAATTTACCAAAGAAAACAAGGTTCATACGAATAAGTTCGCAAAGAAGCTTCCTTTTCTCTTCACTCATCGATGAACCCAAAACAGATTTACATAAAACGTCGCATGTCAATGTATTCAGGATCTCAGACACGCACACAACACCATTGTTAGCTGAAGCCATGCGAGCAATTCTTTCGATCATCAAAGATACTTCCTCCAAACGCACTAAACTGAAGGACTGTATCATTTTTAAGCTGAGAAGGTTGGTAACACAGATCTTCCTGGTCTGTCTCCAATACTCTCCGTAAGGGGCTAAGGCCATATCATTGTTGTTGTAGAGCAAAATCCTTGCTGCCTTAAGAGAAGGCCGGCTTGCAAATACGAGATCATGAGTTCTCATGATCTCTCGAGCAGTAGATGGTGATGAGACTACAAGAGTGGGTATGCTGCCTAGTTGTAGAAGCATGAGGGGTCCATGCTTCTTTGAAAGTTCGAAGAGTGATCGATGTGGTATCAAGCTGATTTGGTGCAGATTACCTATAAAAGGAAGCCCAGCTGGTGAAGGAAGAAGCAGTGTCTTCTTTGAGATTGATTTTCGTTTACTTCTTCCTGCCAGCAGGACGAACATAGTAATCAGGAGAAGCGCTACAAGCATCATTGGACCCATTATGAGCTTGCCTAGCATAAAGAGATAATAACATTAGTTCAAGAAGAAGTTCAGAACAATTTTAAAAAAAGAAAATTGTAGTCTTAGATCTGTTTGGCCATGGAAAGTCAATCACCATGAATCATCGTATTTTTGTTCCGTGTTCCTTACGCAATGCATAGAATTGGCTGAAAATTCAACCAATTAGTTTAACCAATAAGGAAACATAGGGCTGATTTTAGAAAAAAGTTTACCAGTCCAGTAGTTGTCCATGTGTGATAATGCGGACCTTTTTTTTGTTTTTATTGAGAAATTTAGGCAGAGCACACTATCTTCACACACAGGATTTTGAGTCTATTCAAGAAGAAATTGTTATGCCTGAGAAATCAGAGTTAAAATATATTTGGATGAGCCAAACCTAGACACAAAGATTGATTTAGATATCTTGTATCTATAAAAAGGCAACCAATATAGATTTCCTACTATATCTGCTATAGCTCATGAGGTTTTGTGCATTCCTATAAGTACATTGGCATCAGAAAGTGCTTTCAATAATAATAGTAGTGAAGTAGAATGAGAGGGTGTGTAATAAAAATAAAAGATCTAAAATTTTATCTCAGGTTTTCCTTAATTAATGAATTTGAATTTAAAATTCAAACAAGAAAGAAGGGAGGGAAGAGATGAATTAATTATCTCCTTAATTGGGCCCTTAATTAGGAAGAAAATAATTATGATAGAGGAGATAGAGGGGACGGCCAATGAGGGAGGGAGGGAAGGGGGTATCTAGATTCGATGTATCTGGACCCTTGCATTTAATGTGATTGGAAAAATTAAATCTTGATATTAAAATTCAGAATTGGAGAGATTGGTGGTGGTTTCCTAAAATAGGTGAACTAATCCGGAAAAATTTTGAAATTCAAATTTATTTGAATTCAAAATAAAAGACTTTCCAAATTAATCATTGGCTAGATTAAGAAAGTAATTATGAAGCAATTTGAATTTGAAAATCAATGGGTTGTGGAAGGAGAGGTCAGCGGTATGGTGGGGTGGACTAGGGCTTAGGGAAAGGGATTTAAAGATTGCCTTATTTAGGAAGAAATAATTTAAATCAAATCCAATTAGAAATTTAACTGGATCTAATGGAAATAACTTTCCTAAAATAGAGAACCTAATTTAGGAAACAAATTCAAATTCAAATTTGAATTTTGAATTCAAATTGGTGCTAAAATTGGGGAGGCTAAAATAGGAAGGTCATAAATGAAAGAGTAAATTGAGGATCCTATGGGGAAAGGCTAGATAGGCCAGCATTTAGGGGAAAATTGGTCGGAGCTTTAGGATATGGCAGGGAGGAGGCTAGCGGTGGAGGTTGGCCATGGACATGAGTGGTGGGGAAGGATGGGTGGTAGAAAGCCGACGACTAGGGGAAGATTTAGTCGGCATCTAAAGGAAAAATAATGAGAGATAAAAGAAATAAAAAGATAAAACTGTGATCCCGGACGCTTCATGCGGCTAACGGGTAATATGTTGCCCTTCACCAAGGGACTTCAAGCCAAGAGCACGGACCCATCCTACGGCTGGTGGAAACTACGATTCTCTCGCATAGGGACCTTTCCAAAGTTCTCATAAAGAACAAGAGTGTAGAAACCTTTTTTTATTAATAATTCATCATCCTAATACAAGAGCAAGGGCCTCTATATATAAGCCTCAAAACAAAAGATATTAAAAAAGACAACTTTGCCTTTTGGACTTACATAATATAAGACTCTTAAATAAGGGTAAAAACGAGAAATGCAAAATTAAATCAAAATACATTTAATAAACTAAAATAAAAAGAGTGATCTCGCCCGTTGATCTTCGTCTCTTCCATTGAGTAACGTTCACCGTCGGATGTCCGCATCAAGTAGAATACTAGATCAATATCGAAGTGCACTGAAGCAAGATATTGTTGAGGCATTTGTCTATCCATAGGATTGGTTTTATGGAAAACAGGGTGCTTTATTCTTCAACCTTTCCTTATTTATGTTTATAGCACATTTATAAGTTGAGCTCAAATCTTTTTTTTTTTGTTCCAGTAGTTCATGAAACAGAACTTGATGTTATTACATATGATATCCTTGATTTACATGTCAATCAAATTGATGCATAACCAACTGAAAGTTCAGTTATTAGATGATTCTAGTTTAAGATTTTATTTATGTCAATCTAATTAGAAGTTCACTGTTGAGTAACATACTTTTAGACTGGCTTGTGTTCTAAGAGTCTTCGTGCAAGTTTTTTATTTGGATATTTGGTTATCCCTCTCGATGCAGGTATTTTATTTGGTCTGGCACATGTGAATATGTGATGGAGCTAAAATCTTTGATTTTTTTGCTGTTAGATGTTAGTACTGGTGTGTTGGACCGGTGGTAGACTAGTAGTGTATGAGTCATGAACTTGCAGTTGCATTTTTGATGTTTCATTTGTTGAATTACAAAATAGAACTTGCTGCTGGAGTTCTTCTTTTTTGTTTAGTTCACTGAAGTTGATGGTTGCTGTAAATTATGTTTTGTAATTATGTTCCTGGGTTTTCTTCTGTGGTTTGTTTCTGTTGTTCGATAGTTGACTGCTGCTTTCTGTTTTGTGAAGTTGAAATGCAAGGAAAAGTACTGAAATGAGAAATTGAGGCTTTATGTGGGTTTACACTTTCCAAGCCATGAACTTGCTTTTGCATTTTTGTTTTTTGTGCGTTTGCTGGTTTCTAAAGTTTTATTTCAATGATAAATTGATTTTTGTGATTACACCATTTCTCTATTTGAGGAATTGAAGCTTGGGATTAGTGGGTTAATGATTCATTGATTCTTAGAACTTCACTATTTCATTGTAATTTGGCTGTTGTCTGTTGACTGCTGTCATTTGCTCATATTCATATGCTATATGTGATTTTATGAAGCGATGATGATTACCTTCTAAAATGAAAGTGGGCGCTGGGAGTCATATAAGTGTAAGTGCTTATGTGCTATTACAATTTACAACCATGTGATATTTATATTATCTTAGAAATTAGAATGAGCATATATATTTTATATTCTTATTCAAAGAACAGATATTAAGTTAATACAAATTGTCACCTTGGATCGTAATTTGCTAATATTGATTAGACTAATATCTTACACTGCAATGACCTCAATTAATGATTTGAAGGGTTTAATCTGAGCAATATATTATTATTACATATTAAAGTTTGCAACTTATATAATTGATTTTGTTGAAGTTAAATATATATTCATCATTGAAATCTGAAGACAGTAGAGAGTAGACAACCAAATAGGCCATTGGAATTTTGAAGCTGTTATTTCGATGAGCATTTCATCAAATCATCATAGTGCAATTTATTATTTTCAAATTTAGATTTATTATAAATTATTTTGTTGTTTATAAATTGAATTGAATTTATAATTGAAATGATCAATTGAGTTGCAACTTGCTTCAGTGCACTTCGATATTGATCCAGTATTCTACCGCTATTACTGAAAACACTTTCTGATGCCACTATACTTATAGGAATGCACAAAATCTCACTAGTCATAGCAGATATAGCAGAAAATCTATATTAGTTGCCTTTCTAGAAAAGCAAGATATCTAAATCAATCTTTATGTTTAGGTTTGGCTTATCCAAATATATTTCTAACTCTTATTTCTTAGGAATAACAATTTCCTCTTGAAAAGACTCAAAATTCTATGTGTGAAGATATAAAATTTATAAAATAACATAAGTACCTTTAATGAAGATATAACTAATTCTTAATGTAATACCTAAAGAAATTGTGACTTAATTAGAGTTATAGATATACTTCTTAATGTACCAACTTCAACCATTCAGGATGCACGTGAATGCTGTCCTGCTAATTCATTATCTCCTAAACTATAGTTTGCAAATAAAGCAAATAACTTTTCTCTAACCTTTGATAATTCATAGTGGTAATCAACTTCATATAGTCTCCTATAGCACCACTCAACAAAAATAAATTTGTATCGTGGATCAAAAATGACAGCTATAGCCAGTATAACAGAAAATCCATACCAATATTTCTCAAATTTGACTATCATTCCTGCCGCCATTCTTTTGATGTAATCATGTCCACTTAAGAATTCATGTTTCAATGATGCATAAGCTATAGAAATGCAAAGGAAGTATAAATTTGCTGTTGGGTACTTTGAGTCAGATATAACACATGTTATCTTGTAGAATGAGCCAAGAAATTTCAAATAGATTCAATTTTCTCCCACTCAACACTACTTGGGCAATTCCTATAATTTGAATCACTAAATTCTAAATGTTAAAAAGCTCATCGATAGTAAATAGCATTATCTAGCATGATAAAAGTGGAGTTCTATCTGGTTAGAACATCTTGACGCAAACCTCTTTTTCTATCTAGACAACTATGTTTGACACAATCAAAAAATTTTTGCTTCCTCGCTTGAGAGCCTTTTACATAATACTCTCCCTGATTTTAATTATTGAATCATCGACCTCCTTCAAACCCTGTTGAACTATGAGATTAATAATATGTGTTGTACAATGAATATGAGAGTACTCACCATCACAAAGCAAAGCACCACATAAACATAAATGATTTTTAGATATTCAACTGAGGTATTATTTGCTGACACATTATCCAAAGTAATGCTAAAAAGTTTAGTATCAATTTTCCACTCCAAAATAAGAAACTGTAACTTTTTCAAACAATGCAATGCCATCATAAGGGGGCAGCATGAAACCAAAGCTGATAATCTTTTTTTTTTTTGCAAATGTAAATCATTATCTATAAAATGCATTGTTAAACAAATAAACTCATATGTATTAATAAAAGTCGAAAGGTCTGATGTTAAGCACACCCTACTTGTCAATTTGGCTAACTGTGAACGTATATTACACTTCTCTTTACTAAATAATTTCTTACAATCACTTCGTGCAATGTTTTTAGAAAACAACTACAAGTCCAGACAAAGATACGTCAGAAGAGCTTAAACTCCAACCCACTTGGAAGGGCAAGTCATGCATAATGATACATACAATAAACAGGTCATGAAATTATGACTAATCAAACTTACTATCACTCATAGAAATGAATGATTTAGAGTTTGTTTGTAAAATGAATTATCCAATATCACGCATATTTCTTTTCTTACAATTTTTCAAGTGTCGTCTTAGATTAATAGTGTCATTTTTGCTATCACAGAAATATGTTACGCCACATTTCTTGAATTTACACATTTGCTTACCATCTTTTCGTTTAGGCAACATCTCAAAGTAATCCCAAACAACCGTAGTCATTTCTTCTCTGCTTTTTAGCAACTTCCCCTCCCTCATTACATTCAATGTTACATAGCTCTATCACATTTTCAGATGGCGCAAGTTCTTCATTTTCATCAGAACAATCATTATTAGGAATGGTATTAGAGCCCTCCATTTATCAAAAGTATTAGAAGACATCACAATGCGAATATTTAAATATTTCTTGCATGTCAAATTAGAACCAAAAGACAAAGTAAATTTAAAAATTTCTGATATGAAGTGAACTAAAATATATTTAATTTTTTTTTTATTTTTAATCGATTTTTAATTATTTTTTTAAGTTCTAGTTCAGTTAAGGGATTATTTAATTTGGATGTGAAAATGAGTTGTTTTTTGAAATGTTTGCTAGTTTATTGCTTGTTGCAATCTTATGTATTTATAAAATTTTATTTTAGATTTTTCTGATATTTATTAAATTTTTAAACAATTATTCATTATCCTATCATTATCTTTTATTTTTTTATCATTTTTAAATCCAACTTTTACATTTAAACTTTAATTTGTTAAATTTTAAATTATATTGTATTAATTATGTTTATGTTTTTTTTTATTTTATGTATTAGATTAGGTTGGTTCTATGTTTGATTCGGTGTTAAGAGTTATTTAGATTTAATTATGAATTGCTTTGGTTTAAGTGTAAGGTGAAGTTCACTCTTATTATACGTCTTTTTTAAATGTGTATTTGTGCAAACACATAAACAGATATATATAACGTTGGTTAATCACTTATTAACAATTTTATTGTTGATTTGGGTCTTTGAAGTAACTTATGCAGGTCAGATGAACTAAGTGTCCAAATAAGTTAATGATTGGAGGGTGAAAATTAACCTATCATGTGGGTATGACACCCCCGATCAAGATCTCATAGTTCCATTATTTTGGGTTCGTTATTTCCGTTAGTCTACTTAGTCGAGTGTCGATTGGAGAATCCTTATTACCAACCATGAGTTACCTCATCCAAGGTGTAACGGCCTAAATTCTTAACTATCAAAATATTTGTCCACTTTGGCCTAAGGGCCTCACAATTTTGTCTTGTTGGTGTAACTTCCCAAAATGTCATCAATCCCAAGATTTTTCCAGGATGAGCAGGCTTAACTGAGAAGTTTCTTAATAAAATTTTGACCATTACACTAATAGGCACTTTGATGTTAAGAGTTAGCTTCTTTTTACTTAAGGTGTTTCACAATCTCCCTCACTTAAGTAATCGATGCCCTCGTAAGTATCTTTATCCCATAATCATCCACCATATATATAGGATTCTAGAGGTGGACCCTATAAGTTCAAGTGGTGACTCGCACCATATAACACTTTATCATATACAGGGTTTAATAGGTGGCTCCCATAGTGTAGAACTTTGTCTTGTTTGACATATAATTCTTATCTTCCGACTAGTGCATTGATCTGATACCATTTGCAACAACCCAAACTCTAAACTAAATAGATATTGTCCACTTTAGCCTATGGAGCTCACGATTTTATCATGTTGGTGTAACTTCCTAGGAGATCACCCATCTCAAAATTTCTCCAGGAACGCTTAACTGCAAAGTTTGTTAATAAAATTTCGATCATTATACCATAAGGCATCTTGATGTTTAAGAATTTAGCTTCTTTTTACTTAAGGGGTTTCATATAAGGGGACCTCGTAGACTAAGGAGTTGAGGACCTAATCCTAGGGTGTACATGCTTATATGAATAGTGAACCTATGTCTATATTGTTTAGCCTAGTTAGGGTGTCGACCTTATGTTATATGTATATGTTTCTTAAGAGTGAAGGCTAGTAGAAACCTAGTGCCTAGGCATATAGCAATACCCGACATCTCCTATTGGGATCGTAGGTGAAGTGGGTTTGTGTTCTATAATTTCTAAACAATCTTAGTTTCTAAATGAATAAATGATCCCCCTTACAAATGCCAACTCTAGTAGTTTGAGGTGTTACAACATTAACTATGTATCAATGGCATCATGAAAAAAAAAATCATACCAAGGTTCATATCATGGTTCAATTTATAAGATATAAATTTGCAATGCCATGAACATTGCACATATATAAATAGCGAATGAATATTCCAGAGTTCAAGATCTTTGACAACATCAATTAAAATATAAGGAATGTTTTTTGAAAAGCTATTATTTGACATAACTGATCTTATAGTTGTTATTGAATGTATCAGTGTGCATAAACAAAGCTATATCATATAAATTCAATATATTTGATTTTATTAAAATTGGATTCTCCAAAATATGATAATGAAAGGCATTAACTATTAAGTGCGTACCTGAAGAGAAATCTTTCAAACAAAGCTCTTTTTTCTCATAACAGTTATCCTGCTTTCGCTAATATTCTTTAAGAAAAACCTAATAGGCAACTGGCATGTTATAAGGTTCTATTTCTTTCCAACACTAATACAAAAGTTAAATTGAACAAGTAAAGCATCACAATATTTGGCTCCTGTCGAGCTAGGTTCTCTCCTCCGTTTTGTAGCTCATGAGCTTCTTCTCTACATGTATTTTCCTCTCTTGTAATTTTTACAGATCAATGAATGGAAAACCTATCTTTACCCATTTAAAAAAAAAAAAAGAATTAACAACGCTTAAAATCTCCACTATCATGGAAACCTGACAGAGATGCCATGATTAAAATGAAATGATGATTTCAACTCATTAGCAGATTTGAAACTGCACAATATATTAATAAAACTTAAAAAGTTCAGTTAAGAAAATACTGTGTGATTTTTTGTGATCCAAAAGTAGCGATGGCTGGATGACTTTTCCCAGCAGCTCCCCTCTTCCGTTTCTTTCGACTCTGGAAGGGAACCAAAAAAAAAAAGAACTCGCAACTTATTTTACAGCTTTCTCTAGCAAATACTGCACGTAGACCCCGTCGTTCTCTTCTCTGCTCTCGCACGCAGGAATCAGGAAAGGATAGGGAACTGGAGTAGCTTCCTTCGGCTCTCTCTCGTTTTTTTTTTTTTTTTTTAATTAGCTGGGGACAAAACGAACGAAAGCGAAACCCTCGCAGATCTCTGCTCTCTCGTTTTTTTAAAATTAGATCTAAATCGGGTTAATTTGGCTCGAAACGAGACGGCTAATCAAACTTATTTTAATTTAAATTAAATAGAAACGAGTTATGTTGGGATAATCAAAGCAGCCGAGTCGAATTAGTTCGACGTTTTTCGATTACGCCGATTTGATTGAAATCAAATTGGTTTTTTGATAAATTTGAGCTCGTCTCGATTTAATTTAAAGGATCGACGAGATTGATTACGGATTTTGCTCATTTGAACTATTTTGATATGATCAAATTCAGTTTGAATAAAATCAATGAGATGAAAGATGAATCGACCATCATAAGTCGATTGGATCGAATCGATTGCCTCAATTTAGGGCGCGTTTGGGACTGATTTTTCGCTGCTGTGCTTTACCACACACAACCGAGAGGTGGTTTGGGACGGACTGATGGTGCTCCATTCTCGACAATTTCACATCCCGCGGTTGCTTCTCACACCCGTAAGAAGCCTCATGCGGTTCGTCTGCTTCCCGCTATTCATAGATATGCTAAATACAGTGATGCCCTTACTGCCTCACAAAGTTCCTCTATACCAGGCGACTCCTCCTCCTCTTCCGTCTCATCTCGCTCGGCATTCCCGATAGGAACTTGCTTGCGGCGAAGGTTGGCTTTCTTCCTTCCTTGTAGCTGTCAACTCTCACGCCTTAGCCACTCGTCTCCGCCACCCTCGACAACGTTTTTGCTTGTTGAATCGGAAGTTTTGCAAGATGGGAGTTCGCTCACTGTAACGCGATCGGAACCAAGACCGACGATAGGAGGGTGTTTGCAGTGAAGTTAGCCTTTCTTCCTTCCTTTACCTATCATACCCGAAGCCCTAGGCGGTCGTCTCTGCCAACCTCGACAAGTTTCTGCTTGTCGGATCGGGAGTTAAGCAAGGGAGTTCGCTCACTGTGAGGTATCCATTCTTTTGCCCTTTCACATGGATTTTTTTTTTTAAAAAAGAGGTTTTTTTTAGTTGTTAGATTTTACATCGATTCCATTCCTCTGGAACTTTTCTTCAGCAAATTGAGTGATCCTCTTGTCAAACCTACTCAAGGAAACACAATTAGAAGCAGAATCTGAAAACCCACTGTGACTATAGTAAAATAATGCACAACACCTAGCAACTGAGAAAATTTGTAATTGGTATCTTCCTCTCTTCTTCACTAAGGTTTGGCAGGCTTGCTTTCCCAAAGCAATTCATCACAATTCTACGGATTCTCTGAGCATCTTCAACTTCCTCCTAAACATTCATACTTCTCATTAAAGTTTGCTATTCATTTTTCAGTTGAATTTTAAAAGCCGATGTAATTAACTTTCAACTAATAATAAAAGCTTGGAAAAATCAAAAACATTTTCAAGTTGATTCATTGGAGGTTTCATCTTTTTCTCCGTAGATAGTAATATTTTTAAATTTCATTTAGAATCTGAATTATAAAATATTAAATAGTTGAGTTATGAATTAGTTATTAAAGTTCTTTTAACTCTGACAATGAGAGAGTAGTGCACATGACAGATGCAAATTTAAATTTGTTTTATGTTTTAATTTTTTTAAATAAATTTAGATGCATGATGTCTCTTATTTTTTTTAATTACTTGCAACAACAATCAATTATATTGCTTTGCATATTTCCTCTTATTATAATTTGTTAATTTATAATACAACAATTAATAAATTCAATGAGTAAACCAAAGGATGGCGGGCCTTCCGCAACATAGGAGAAAAATGTGAAGATTATATTCTGTGATTTATGTCTAAGAGAGATTGAACTCGGCAATCGACCAACTATACACTTCAATAAAGAGGGTTGGACTAATTTAATTAAGAATTTTTTTTGAAAAAATTGGAAGAGAGTATGATAAAGTTCAGTTAAAAAATAAATGGGATCAGTTAAAAAAAGATTGGAAATTATGGAAAAAATTAAAGCGTGGATCCACTGGACTTGGTTGGGATCCTAGGAAGAAAATCATTGGCGCACCTGATGAATGGTGGAAAGAGAAATTAGAGGTAAATAATAATTTTATACATTTCATATATTAGTCTAATTCAACCTTCATATTATGCCTTCTAATTTTATAAATTAAATCTTTCTTTCTAGGTTGTGCCAAATGCAAAAAAGTTTAGATACTGTGGCATTGATCCTGAGCTTGAAGATAAGCTAGATCTTATGTTCCAAGGTGTTGTTGGTACTGGAGATCATGCTTGGACTCCAAACCATGGACTTTACCATGAAATGATACTGAAGATTCTGAACACATTGATATATGTTCTGAGTCTTTTGAATATCCTTCACAAAATCTTTAAAGCATCAATGACTGTAGCCAATTGAAACGTCCTTCATCTATAACGTCAATCGATAGAAGGAAAAGAATATTTGGTTCAACATTTCTAAGAAGCCAAATTACTCAGCTTGTAAATTTTTGCACAAATATTTCCTCTGGAATTAGTGCATCAAAGTCAATAACTGATACTCCATCCCTTTCTGCTGCCATTAAAGTTCTTGAAGAAACAGCTGAAGCATTTGAAGATATGTCACTGTATTTATTTAGTACAAAGCTTCTCGAGGATCCAGCAAAGCGAGAAATTTTTATGTCAAGTTGTCCTGATCGAAGAGTTAATTATCTTTGATGTTGCTACGAAAATCATGATACAACATCATAGTTTCTTGGATATTTATGTTTTTTCTTTAAAAACATTAGTTTAGTAAATGTGTTTTATACATTAGTTTTGTATTTTGATTGTGCTGTTTTGAACAGTTTGTACTGTTTTTTTTTTTTTTTTTACTACAACAATTGAAAGATCTTACGTTTATCTTATGCTTTGTTTTCATTGCATCCTCTTCAACCTATAAAACTTGCATATTTTTGTGTTTCTTTTTCCAAGGTCTTCCAGTAATTGTATTTTTTTAAGGAATGAAACAGGGTGGAAAATGTTCCATGAGCTGCAGAAAACAGAGCTTGCTGGTGAATGACAATCTCTCTCTCTCTAAGGGAGCTTTTTAACGGTTGATGTTGGTAGACATCTATTGCTCCAGCATCAGTTTTGTTATTGTCTCCAATAGCTTGATAATGAACTCCATACTTATCTATTGATTGCTCAATTAGTTGTGGTTGAATGAGCTGCCTGTAAGCACTATTTTGGTCCTTTATTAACTCAGAGTGAGAATCTAGCCAATATAAAACTCAGAATTACAAATAAGCTATAGAAATCAATTATGGAGTAGTTTCTCAATTTTGGCAAACAGTTGGGTGAATCTGCTTGAGGATGGAACCAAGGCGAATCTGAGCCCCCAACTCCTTTTTTTCTTTGCTGATCTTCCCTGAAACAGGTTTTTCAGTGCTCTGCATGAATACGCGAGTGTTGTAGTGATGCTTAACCCAAAAAAAATCATATCTCTAACTTGTTAGTTTAAGGGGTATTTGGTTGCAGCATTAAGGCATGATTTACGAGGCTATTTGGTGGTCAGGTTTAATGCTAAATTTCATTCAAATCCTGCCAAGCAGTTTTTGTTGGGTTTTTACTTGAATTGCAGGTTTCTTAAATTCAGGGAAAGATCGAATTTAATTGATTTGTCGGTTGTTTGGTAGCAGCATTTCGTATGATTTATGCAGGGTTAATATAAAATGTGATCATTTGCATGCATAGCACACAAACTTATATTATTTGCTTATTTAACATCTTAATACTTGAGGATCCTAAATCTCATTCCTTCCCGGTTTATATTAGATCCCTCATTAGTTTTTTACTAGAAAGCAGTTTTTAGTTTTTGTATTTATTTTTTTGTTTTTGTAATTGCTGATATTATCCAATTCTTCCATAATACTTGTTTATAGAAATAATCTATTAATACTTATTACTACCTATATGCAGGAATGGAATGTAATGGGAATTTAAGTGAGTCAGCCGATATTGCAAATATTAAGAAGATTATACTTGCGGCAATATGTGTTATAAATGAGTATTATGAAACATATATTTGCAAGACACTGTGTATGACATCGTCATCTAGAGGAGACAAATGGGTTGGAGAGCTACTACAAGGTCATCCAACGAGGTTTCATAATATGTTTCGTTTGTCTCAAACAATTTGTTTAGATCTATTGTATGAATTGGAATGTATTCATCATCTCCATGGATCATCAAGAACAACAAGCAGAGAAGTCCTTGCGATGGCTTTATACATTTTATTGCATAATGAATCAATAAGGTTCACATGTGAGCGGCTTCAACACTCTACTGAGACAATCAGTAGGTATTTCTCTATTGGATTGGAGGCTTTGGTGAAATTTTCATGTTCTGTGATCAAGCCTATCGATCCTCAATTTAGTGATATCTCAAGGAATATTTTGTATAATAATCGATATATGTCATATTTCAAGGTAAATTTTTTAAATATCATATTATAAGAATGTTTAAATGAATATAATATCTAATCATCACTTCTTAAATAGGACTGTATTGGAGAAATCGATGGAACACATGTGGATGCTCGTGTTTTGAATGCTGAGAAAGCTGCTTATATAGGAAGATGTGGGTCAACGACGCAAAATGTTATGGCTGTATGTGACTTCAACATGTGCTTCACTTTTATCATGGCAGGATGGGAAGGAAGTGCACATGACAGTCGCATTTTTAAATTTGCAACTCTTAATAGGCGTAATAACTTTCCCATGCCACCTCCTGGTACGTTCTATATATTTGTAACATTAGTAGTAATAGAACTTATACTAAAGTACATGTACTTTATAACAGGAAAATATTATGTTGTCGATGCTGGTTATCCGATGCAACAGGGATTTTTGAAGCCATTTCAAGATACCAAATATTATATCCTTGATTTTGAAAGAGGAAGCCAATTAGTACGTGGAAGGAAAGAAACTTTTAACAAGAGACACTCTTCCTTAAGAGGTGTAATTGAGAGATCATTTGGTGTTTGGAAGAAGAAGTGGGTCATACTACGAGATATACTTACATATTCATTTAAAAAACAAATAAAAATAGTGATAGCAACCATGACATTGCATAATTACATACGTCGACATCCTAGTCGGGAAGACCCTGATTTCAATATATGTGATGCGGACGGAACATATATACCCAAGGAGGCATATGAGTATAGAATTGGGCAATCAGTAGTAGAGATGGAAGGGAATGATTTTAATCGGGAGGTACGAGATGTTGAAGGAGCAGAGGAGATGGTATATTTACGAGAGAAAATCACAGATGCATTGATGGATGAGATGAATTAGGAAGTTTTATATGTTTGATAGCATGTTTAGTTTTATTTGATTAATTTTGTGAATCATATGATAATATATATATGTGAATAGTTGCATTACTATTTTCTTTTTTTAGTGAATATGGCAAGCTTCTTCAGGCCAACTGGTCAATTTTATTTGGATCTTATCTGTATTTTTCTTTGCTTTCTTTTTCTAGTAAAATGAATCTTCTTTAGTATGTAGATATCTGAAATGCAAAAGTATTGTTTCAAATCCTATAAATAGAGATTGTCAGTTTGTTCTGCTATGCAGAAGTTATGGGTGTTGTCTTTATTCGTAAATCTTGCCTCCTGTTTGTGGAAGTAAAGATCATCAGAAAGTATGTTGTATTGCTTAGTATGCATTAGAGTCCCTTTATTATCTTTATTATCTTTATAAGGATTAGACTATTAGCTTCTATTCACAATGACATGGATTGGTTACATGTTTATTCTTTATTCCATTTCTTATTGTTCTACATCAGTCCCTACCATGATATGTCTGCTACATCATCTTGGATGCTTATGTCCCCCATGCTCTTCAGTAATGATATCTTGGATTAATCCTGTAGAGTTTTAAATATCTGCATAGATAATGTGTTGGTTTAGGTTCTGTCCAAGTGCAGGTGTTGGCTGGATCAAATATCATATTTTAATGTTTATTCTTCCAATTATTTTGCCTTTAATTTAAATACTTCTCCGGTATATTTATATAATTTTTGGCTCATCATTTTTCAGACAAAGCTGAAGAATTATTTTCATGCTGTTTATCTGAATTCAGATAAGATTGAGTATTAGAAACATAAAGGAATTTTAAATCCATAGATTCAGAGTTAAGGTTCCTATGTTACAGAAGAATATCATAACAAAGGAGTAGTCACTACTTGTAAATGATCAATAGTCACCCATTTTATCTTTGAAGATTCACATAGCGGGAAAATTTGATGGTGAGGAGGTCTCTGGTTTCATTTGTTTTATCATCTTAAGTTTGCAATATATTGCCTAGTCCGATGCATGTTCTATATAGATTGACTAATGCTCATTGTCAAGGAATAAAATCTTCAACACCTTTCTTTCATCTTCTTTCTCCCTTATGAACCCTGCTTCAGTGAAATAAAAAGTAGAGAATGTTCTTATAAGAGAAATCTTACATTTGTTTGATATCTGCATGAGTTCTGACCATGGATAATACCATGTAAAATGTTTGACTATCATGACATCTCTAATTTAAATACCTTTTGATTATCTATCATGACGCAGAGAAGCTTGTTCTCTCTTGAGTTGCCCAGGGCTATTGCTATTTCTAAAGCCAGTCCTGTACATAATGCAACGGCCAGATATTCAGGAAAGCCAAAACAAGGGTCTCGTCGCTCATGAGAAACAGCATGAAAATAATTCTTCAGCTTTGTCTAAAAAGTCATTTAGACCTGAATTTGAGGTTTGGTTTTGTGTGCAGGGGCATTTCCAGTAGTAACAGAAAGCAGCTTCAGCGTCTCAGTTGCATATATATTTTCTCCATTATTTTCATTTTCTGGCAGTACTACAAAAACATTCATGTAGTATTGGTTTTGATGTGCTCCTTCGTGCATTGAACTGGAGATCTGCTTTTCTTGTTGAGATTTACGGGAAGTTTGTTGTTATGCTCATGATCTCTCTTTAGATTTTGCTGCATTGCTCAAGAGATGATATGCTTGAGCAACTGGCAGTTGGATTTTGTTGAATTCGCAAAGATTCTAATGCTTGGACAAAAATATATATGGGCGTTTGATCTAGAAGAATTGGCATCCAATGCTTATACTACTGAAGCGACTCCTGGATGCCAATAGCATTTAGATAATCAGATTCTAGTAAATCTAGATTTATTTAATTGTTGTGGTTTTAAATATTAATAGTTGTTTGAATGTAGAAATGCTTCAGTAGAGCGAACATTTCAAATTATTTTTCAAATATTCTTAGGTGTATTTGTCAACTTTGTAGAAATAAAATAAAAAAGTTTTAACTTATTTTATTCAAATATTATAAAAAGCATTAAAATTAAGACTTGGATAATTTTTTTTTTGAGTAACTTTTGAAATTGTAAATATAATTTTAATTTTTTTCATTTTTTGTATGGCTTACAAATATTTTTAAGTTAAAATTTTATTTTGTACAACAATATTTAAAAAAAAATGTTGGCATCTTTAATAAATTTTAAAAAAAGTTGTACCAACTTAAGAAGGGATACAATTTTGATTTAGAATTGTTAGTTGATTATCATATACAATTAAAAAAAATTAAATTTGAAAAAATATATGTTTCATCTAAATATATATAAGGGTATGAAAGTAATTTGTTCTCATACAGCTGCAGCACGGCAGCTCTACAGTTATACTTTCCAAACAAAATATAATGATTTTTATAAAGCAACTTTTTGTACAGCAATTTCACAACCTACTTTACCGACAGCTGCAACCATCCCAAACGCACCCTCAATTGATCCAAACCAAATAAGTCAAAGATTAAATTAAATTCCAGGAGTTCATCAACGTCAATCAGATTAGATTGTGTTGGGTCATGATGAGACTTAAAAATGGATTTGAATTGATCGATTGAATTCAAATTAATCTATCTAACCTATTTTGTTGCGTTTGAAGCTGCTTAATTGACAAGGAAACTAGATGATAGTCTATAATCTTTTTGATCGGGCTATAACCTTAAAATTGGCTTGGGGAGCCTATTATCTTTCTAGAGTCATCGAGATGTATCTTAAAAGATTTGCGAGCCCCATATGGATGATCGTCGCTATGTCATCATATATCCACCTAAGAGGAAACTTAGAGATGATTTCTATACAGTTGTATGAAGGCCTACTTTCTAGGAGAGGTCTATGGGAAAATAATGTCGATCTCACCAAAAGTGTGGTCAACAAATGTCAGTGAGATATATTTGGTGAGTTGCTTCCTCTCATTATGTTGTATTCTCATCAACTCTTCCATTTCCTTCACATTCATCTCATTGCTTTCATTATGGTTTGTTGATGGGCATTATCATCCTTAATCAACATCTAATCAAGGGAAATGACTAGTGAAAGTTTTATTTTTAAAAGAGAGGCACTTTGAATCCAAAAGTTAGAGTATAGGGAGTGGACTGCGTTATAGTGCAATATGTGATTCGGTAGGCTCATAAAGCCTTTGTCAAATATATATGATACTCATGCTTGCTTTTAGCAAGAAGCTTCTTGATAAGTTGTATCTATGTTTTATTAGAATCTTTTGCATCTATTGCTAAGATGTTTCAAGTGTGATAGCCCAGATAATGTGTCAATTATGAACTAGACAAGAATTTTTACATAGATGTCATTGTAGACATGAATTACAAAAGTAGATTTGCTAAGAGAATATGCTAAGACATTTTAATGAGAGAGTATGCTAAGATAAGCTACATAGAGAATGTGAGGCCTTCATGTGTATTTAGGAAATATAAAGTGATATTAATACACTAAACATCATGATTAGAAGTCATTGAAGAATAATATGATGCCATAATGAGCTATAACAAGATATTCAAATATTGGAATTGTATAATTTATTTAGTAAGAAAATATAAACAAAGAGAGAAGACAAGCAAATTTCTAGAGTCAGATTATCTCTTTTAGTTGATAGTATATCTAAGGTTGTTGGAGTCATAAAAATGAATAACCAATGGAAAAAGTGTGTATAGATCTCCTATAAAAAAAGTGTATGTATTTTTCTTGATGAATAATTTAATAAAGATGGTAACTACTCTTAAGATGCCACTTCATAGACTTTGAGAGAGCTTGATAAAATGGGCAGTCGTTTATATGATTTCCTCCATATGTTATCTCCAAAAACATAAGTGCATTGAAGCTCCACATGTGATGAATCTATGTGCTATATATTCTAAGAAAAGTGTAGAAAGATGAGGAAATTCTGGCCTTCTTGCTTCCCCGGCCCTTCAATGTTTCTCACTTAACTTTGAGCATTTTCATGGAAATAAGATGGCTTGGTTTTAATATCTACTATCCCAAAATTTGGCTAATTATGATTAATTAAGCTAAATATATGTTAGAATTTTATTAAATTTGTAATTATTAGTCTTAGCTTGTTTAATGGGTCTTTTAAGTGGCCAAGAATTGAGCTAGAGAAGTGAAAATACAAGTTGGGAAATTTGAGGTGATCTTTAAAAAAAGGAGAAAAAATAGGTTTGTAGTGCATTGTGGCGCCAGACCTCAGTTGAAATTTTTTTGGGAGAATCAGGAAGATTCTTTGGGAGCATTGTGGAATTGGGGGGTGAGTAACGTGATGTTAGGTCAAGTTAGTGGGTTTTTAAATAAAAACATATATAAATCCTTTTTGAAAACATTTTCTCCCATCCCTAGTCAGATAAGAGAGGAGGATAAAGGGACAAAAAGAGAGGAAACAGAAAGAGAGGGAAAGATTTTGGTGTCAAAAACTCAAGCTTCGTTCATCACAAAAATAGTATAGTACGAGTTAGACTTTAAATCATTTTCTCTGATTTCAATCTCCACTATTTTATACAAAGATACGAATTAAAACATATTGTTCTCATATTTTATAAAGTTTTCATCACGTAACTTTTTATATGTTGTAACATGATATGCTCTAAATGTTTCGACTATATGAATCAAATAATTTTTTTTCAGTCAATTTTTTCTACGCAAAATTTTTAGTATATGATCCGATTATTATTATTTTTTTTTTTGAAAATTACATTGATTATATAAAAGTCTTAAAATATTCGTGTGAATATTCCTCTGAAGTTGAACATAATATTTTACAAGTAATATGGCTTTTATTTGTAAGTTATGCATTATACAAGCATTGCATTGAAAAGTATAATTCAGTTAATATTGTAATTACATTTATACCATCCATAACATCACATTTGAGATGCTCTGATATGTCAAATAGTGCACTTTTTGATATGTGGCAAGGGCGTTATATGTTATATTTTGGCCCCATATGCCTGGAGTAGATGAGAGAGGGATTCTGGTCTCACTTGCTAGAAACAGGTGTGAAAAGTTATGTAACATTGTTTTGTTATATTTTGGCCCCATTAGCCAATAATCTGAAATGAATTTAAAATTTCTAAAACTCTGTATGAATTCTGATGAACTACGAAAGCCAAGTACAAGTGAATCTCAATTGCAAGTATTTTATGAAGTATATGGAAATCTCTGTTCAAGTGGATTCGCAAGTAAATAAAAATGTAAGTATTCTCTAGAATCTTGAAAGTTGTATTTTATGTTTTACTATTGTACTACTACTTCAAAGATT